ACAGTGAACACTTCAGATCCAGAACCTCAGCCTCAACCAAGTATGCCTTCGCTTGGTATGGCACGCCGGGGTTCTTTCCAAGCTGAAAATCCATCTACCATAGTCCTTGTACCTAATCCTCCAGTCCTAACTCTCTGATCGTACCTTTCGAGTACGCTGTGGTACAGACGTTTCCAATTCCTACCCAGTTGAAGCCGGTGTTCCTTAAGGTATGCTCTTGGGTTTCGTCCTTTATATCCTTTTTACCGCTGATATCCCTGTCCATCCTACATGTTATGTTACCTTCCTGGCAACATTTGCTGATGACACCACCATCCTATCATCCAACTCAGATCCCGAAATAGCATCTTTAAATCTTCAGAGACACCTCTCCCTGATTGAGCACTAGTGTAATAAATGGCGCATCAAAGTAAACTAATCCAAATGCAAACACATTACTTTCATGTCCTGTATATTGAATTTCTCTTAGACCGAAGCCTAACGTGGAACCCAAATAGTAGACTTAAAATACAAAAACTTAATCGACGATACGCCTAATTATACAGACTACTGGCTAGAAAATCTCAACTTTCAATTGACAAGAAATTACTGATCTACAAGACAATCCTGAAACTTATTTGGACCTACGGACTTCAACTTTGGGGACAGCAAAATTTTCTAACATCAAACGCATCCAACCCTTTCAGTTCAAAGTCCTCCGAACAATTTTCGATGCTCAACCACAACAAAACCCTACATCATGACCTTAATGTTCCATTTGTCCTTGACCTTATCCCTGATTTTTTTTCCGAATTCCATCTGAACCTTACAAATGATCCAAATCCCCTAGCACTCATACCTACCATCCTCCTCAAAGGTTGAAGCGTCAGTGGCCCAGAGATCTTGGCGAAGTCCCAACCTACAAGTTTGAATACATATGTTTAATTTAATCCTATTATTTACTTTTTCGTTAAAATAATTCAGAGAATGAGTATTTAAAATTGTATGTTGCATATTACTTAATAATAATAAGCTATCCCCTCAAATTGTTATTAATGTCCTGTTGGTCTGGTTGGACGAGTATTTTCATTTGTCCAATTATGACTATTTCTGATACGTTGCTACGATAGAATCAATTATTCTTCTTCGGAAGCGGGGTATATCCCATGAATTTTCGGTATCATTATAAATCAATAAATATATTCTGTATCCACCCATTGGTATATAATTCATTAACGTTTCTAATTAAATACCTTAAGATGAGGTAACTTTGGGACTGGGCGAGTAACTTGAGGACAGCGGTTAAAATTTAGTTTGAGGTGATTCCGTGGTGGATACACTGAGTTGGTTCAGTCAGCATGTATAGCGCTACTACCTTCCGGCAAACAACCCATGAGACACAATCGAAAGTTTCATGAAAACAAGAATTTTGAAATAAGCAATGAAAATAAATAAAACCTAACTACAAAACGAGTGTAGTGAACTAGGCTTCTCAAACTGCTTGAAGGTAGTAGCGCAGTATATGCCTACGCAAAGCACAAAGAACTAACAGTGTATTCGCCACGAAATTACCACAAACTAAATTTTACCCGCTATCCCAAAGTTACCCACCCAATCTCAAAATTACCTCATCTTACGGAAGTTCATCTACTAATTACTGTCACTGTAGATGATGAGTTTAAAATATTTACATTTTAAAAAAGTGGCCTTTACTCTTAGAATTATATAAAAGTGCCTCCAAATGAGGATTGATGAGGATTGGACTTCCTTAGCAAAACAGCCAATGCCGTTTTTGAAAGAATGAGGCTGTGCCGAACTCTGTATTTCATTGTAATACATTTTGTATGATCATTATCAGGAATATTATTAATATTAATTTTGTTTTTTAAAGTCAACTAGTAAATCTGATTTTATTTATTTTTTATTTTTGTGGGAAAACTGATTTTTTTGACCACATTTTTTTTTTAAATCATGAAAAACAAATGTTAAATTTAATTAATTAAAATATGTAACAGGTCTCTAAAAAAAATTATAAAATTTATTGTAATTACATTTGCTGAAAATATTGGTACTTGAAGAGAAAGAATTATTATATATATATATATATTTATATATATATAATATATAAATAATATTATATATATAAAAATATATTATATAAATATATATAGAGAGAGAGAGAGAGAGAGAGATTATTATATATATATATATATATATATATATATATATATATATATATATATATATATATATATATTTTTACATACCTGGAAGCTAATATTTACTATATATGTAAACAATCCAATTTACATTGGTTAAAATCTTATTAAGGAATTAAGTATTTTTAAAAGAGCTAATGGATTTATAAATGTCAAATTATACTTTTTTAAAAGTAATTTGATATAGTTTACAATGACGTATAGGAAATTACCTAAACTTAATTGCCTTTTCAGTTATTCCTTCTTATTCAACAAGAAATATGACATTTAAAAAAATATATATAAATTTTATAGCTACATTTTTTCTGTATGGAATCGGACTATGGTCAATAAGAGATTGTTTGTTGCTATTGAAATATATTAGTATTTAAACATTCCCCATCCTTTCAATCCTGTATATATTCTTCAGCAAGCTCTAAGATAAGGTGATGGATGTTGCCAAGAAAAAATAAATCAAGGAATATCTTGGTTTTTCTGGGGTCTATAAAATAAATACCAAAAGATTTTTCTTTGCCAAATAAACCGAATAATTCTTATGAAAAATATCAGCAGGAACGAAATAGAACCATTAGAGCCAATTGAACCATCAACAATATCATTAATTTTATGGAACTCTAAAACAATTTCTTCAGACAAAATATCAAAAGAATATTAAGTGAGGTGTGTTCTATCCCAAGATTTGTCTTTACAAATATTTTCCTCAACAAACTTTAAATGTTTAAAATTAATTAATCTTCTCTGTTTTCTGGATTTTTTTTCCTTTTTAAGTTCAAAATAAATAATAAACGGCACATTACTTTTGATCAGGTACTTATTGATTTCCCACAGTACACATTATGACATTTATCGCTACACAGTATTGGGCTCGATTCCGCTATTTTGTTCTTTTACCATAAAGTAACCGTCGGACTCATCTAGGTCTCCTCATTCACCACTTGTTTTATCAATTTACCTTTTTGTTGAGGTTTCACATTGTTTTTTTTAGCTGAATTCTATTTGTTATTTCTGAATGTATGTTAATTATAAATTTTCTAACAAATTATTTTTGTGATAAATTATTATAATTATCCCCAACAAAAATTATAAAAAGACAACTAAAGAAAATATTTACACGCCCAGGTGGGGAAACAACTAACCCATTTGGTTGGTCCCATTTGGTAGGAAAAACTAGATTTTAGTATATATCTCAATCATGTAGCTCTTATAGAATATCGTAGATACTTAGGATAATAATGGAGAAGTTGGACGTTGTGAGAGCTCCAATTACAGAAATTCGACATTTTCAAAAGAGCCGCTACCGTTTCAGTCAAGGAAAGAGCTGTAAGGGGCGAAGTACCAGAATTAGGATGATAATTCATAATCAGTAGCCGATTCAACATTTAACTTAGGGGGTTATTATTATTGTTTTTTTTTGTGATGGTAATTTATCTAAAAAAAAGAAAGAAATGAACTACCTTTAGTGTTCGAGTAGTGGTCCTGGGAAGCAAACAAAAAATAATTTCTAATTTTCTTGACGAGCTTTCATTTAGTAGCTGTATATGCCTTATAATTTATTTTGATTCTTTAATAATTATGTTAAATCACAGATAAAACAAATATGGACCAATGAAAATAATTTTTTTTTTTCCATTTTGGGAGCTAGAAAGAACATAATAGAGATGACTTATTTAAACATTTACAAAGATACCACTAGCAAATAGAAACTCATAATTTGGGCCCGAGAAGTTGGGCCTCTCAACAGCTACGATAAATGAAGCCCAGAAAGCTGTGCTGCTGAACACTTCGAGAATCGTAAGGAGCTTCCTAAATATCCAATAAAAGTACAAAAATTAACGTGAAGTGGTCGAAGTTTCTCACTCCAGGAAAATACCTTTTTTTTTAAATGATCAAAAATAAAGAACAATAATAATAGTAGTTAAACATTTTAATCACAAAAATAGAGAACAAACATTTTTATTGAACCTATCGTAAGAATACAGAACAATTGAATCTTTTGTTTAGGAAGTCAATAGCGGATTGAGTATTTAATTTGAGGGAGAGGGTATTATTTTCGAAACCTATTGAAAAGGAAAATGTAAAAAACAAATAATGCTTTAAGGGGTACATTTTTCATAATCTTTTCTTGATATATGATTATAATTTCTATAGATATATTTTCAGATCGGCTTAGTGAGGCATTTCAACTATAATTAAATATTTAACAGTTGGTCAAGTGGGAGTATATTCCCAAAAAAAAAAAAACAATACACTCCTAAATATTGTTGTATAATATTGTTCCTAATGATGTACATTTTTAAGTTTGTAAAATTATTAAATAATATTAACTAGGGAGGTACCCTTTGTCTGCCTAATAGCGGACCAACCCACGGTTTTTTAAATTTCACAAATAAAAAAAGTGTATGAAAATACAGAAGACAGCGTAAGGTGTATATCAAAAGGAATGATGATGTCATGATGTAGGGCGCTGTTTGTTACATATTATGGACCTTTGACCTCTCTATCTCAAAGGTATGACTGAAGATGCAAACAGTTATGATTTGATGCATTGATATTTAGGTATGCAGATTCCTATATCTCTTTGATACATTCTACCTATTACTAATTATGAAATAAGAAAAAAATCTTTATCTCCTCTGTCTTAGTTGGATTTATTATTTCTAAATCGATTATGTTAAAGCTGATGAAGTAATTGGATAATTTAACAGGACACCCTTGGAAAGCAAAGGTTTTTTTTTTTTTTTTTTTTTTTTTTTTGAGGTAAAGTGGATACCCAAGACATACTTGGGTAATTTATTTCAAACTATGGATAAGTCGGGTTGTATGTCGAGTATACCTGGCCCTGGAGTCCCTGCGAGAGGGCCTGCTGGCAGCACAGCTGGCGGAGTCTGGGCTGAGGGAGTCCCGCCTGGCCTTCCGCCCCTGGGCCTCCTCGGGGTCGGGGCTGAGGGTGGGCTGGGAGCCGCGGCGGCCGGCCCCCGGCCAGCAGGAGTCATCGATGGCCGTGCTCTGCCTCGTCAGCCGCGGGTACTTCCCGTCCTTGGTCGAGGGCCTTCGCTCCGGCGAGGCCTGGCTTCTCGAGTCCCTCCTGCACTTGTAGTACACCTAATACAAGCTGTCTCATCAGAATTCATTAACGCAATCATGTCTATGAAAATCATCATGCGGAACATGCATATTAATATTTAAATTATTATTAGTTATCTTATATTTAATTTATTCTCCTATTTTTTAATAAGCTAATTTCTCATAAACTAATCATAAATATACAATTTTAAAAATACTATATTTCAAATGGTTATGTTAATTGTAAATCTAATTTACTTTACCAAGCACTATTTTTATTAAACCCGCTTTATTACATTTTAATTCATATCAAAATCTGACGACTTTTCAGGTGATATTTACCTGAAAAACATATCTGTAGCCTTAACATAAATCACATAATTTTATCATTTTATAAACACATCCACCATAAAAGACATTGCTTTTAGCAATCGCTATCAACTATTTAAAATTTATCTTTTTTACTAGACATGTCGCAGGCAAAAGCTATTTATTCAGATTTAAATTAACTGACAACAAAGCTTGTAAATTTAACGGAGAAGAGACAAACATACGACCATCTTGAAGACTGTAGCCATCTTGAACAGACAAGAAGATAACAGAATATATTTTCAACAATCCTTATTAATGAATATTATAGGTTCCATTTGTTTTCATTACAGTAAGTCTTCAACGGGTGCACATACGCGGACTACGCGTAATAAAATACATGATTAGTTTAAAAATAAAATTGTAATGATGAAAGAAAATTCATTAAAAAGAAAAAACATATAACTACAGATGGATAACAATGGTTAGAAATTATGGATCAAGTAATAATATAGGTAGAATATTTATCTTATAAACGTGTTATAATAGAATAAACTGTTGACTAAAAATATGAGAAAAAAATTAATTAAAGAATATTTACAATTTAGGTAATATAATAAGATTTAGCATAAAAAAATTACATGTTGATATAATGCTATTAGGAAATGATTAAACAACAGTCGTTTAATTATTAACTTCGAAGAAGTCAAGTATTTTTCAATCCGATCTATCTTTGAAGGCCGTCATTAGTCTCACAAGGAGAGGATACAATCTGGGGGTCTCCGATTTCCACAAAATTTTGTTTGGTGTTACTGCTTCAAAAAATATTAGACTCGTGTCACGGCGAAACATCGACAGGGTTTTCTTTGTCTGCATTTGGAGGTTTGGAATTTTTCCAATAATAACCTACATTTATGTTCTGTCCCTTGATTATTTTTTTAATGATTTATAACATTACATTAATTGTTCTTATGATTCATTTATACTAAATCTTATTATCTTACCGATATTGTAAATATTATACTTATATTGTTACTTAATTCTTAATTTCTTTCCAATATCTTTAGTCAACAGTTTATTCTATTATACCACGTTTTTATTGTAAATATTCTGCCTAAATTATTATTTAATCCAACATTTCTAACCATTGTTATTCATTTTCAGTTATTTATTTATTCCATTTAATGACTCATCTTCCATTATTACAATATAAAATACTGAAACGTTTTTGTAGTATGTTTTTTAAATCATTTATGTATTTTACTACGCGTTATGTCCGCGTAGAAATATGTGCACCCATTGCAGGGTTACTGTAATGTAAAGAAATGGAACCTATAATATTCATTACTAAGGAGAGTTGAAAATATTTTCTTTTATTGTGAATGTGCTGATAAAGGATTTTTTATTAATGATATTTGTTGTCAAGTTAAATTTATATTTTAATGGATATGAAAATTGACGAATATGGTCTGAAACACCGTCGGATGTTTATATAAATTAAATTATAATAATGAGATTTTGATAAAAAAAGGTTTAAAACAATCCTAGGCAATGTAAATTAGATAAACTGTTAATAATCTCTATTTTGTACATAATTTAAAGATGAGGTACCTCAATTATAATCAAAGTACATGAGATCCATTATATAAACAGAGCAAAGGAAAATTAGAACCCTGTTACCTTCATATATTCTATTTTAGTCATATATTCTATTATATTTCATTTATATAAACGCATTTATGTAAGCGTAAACATAAACCTTGAGAAAATCATTTAAATTCAAATGTAAATGTGGTAAATAATAAAAAAAGAAAAAAATCAAAAGAAAACCTTTCATTTTTATTGTTCTCTGAAAATAAATATGGTAAATAATATTTAGATTTTCTTTGTTATAAAAATAAATTAATATTACAAAAACCTTTAAGTGCAAAAACTAAAATTATTCATTAGAGGAAATAAATCACGGTATTATTTATTTTCTAAAATATATTTTATGTTCAATATTGTTAGATACTTAAGGAAATACTAGATGTTTAAATAACGTTTATACTTCTGAATATGGACGAGGCTTAAATTGAACAGAAAATATCAAAACATCATTTTCTAATTAAATTATACAGGATTTTTATGCAGGATGAACTAAAAGCATATCTATTAAATATCTCATAAAAACTGATAAATGAAAAGTATACTTCGAAGAATTATTTTTTTTTTCAATGGAATGAAATTACTCTTAATAGTGTAAACATTTAAGCATGTAATTAATAAAAAACTTTTATAATTGAAATATTTATAAATATAGACTTTTCAATGTTCATGTTTCCTCTGTTTGATTTATTGAATTCAATCGAACTATTGAATATGAACAGATTATTTAAATATTCAATGAATAAAGTAGAAATGAAATATAAATGTTTCAAATTAAAATGTAAATAACTCTATCGAAATATGTAAAAAGTTTTGAGATTATTCTATTAAAATAATAATAATATGTTAAAATTAAATAAATAAATTAATAAATCATCGATTTAATTATTAATAAATAATCATCAGCTATATGAAATATATTTCACAATTTTAGGTAAGCATCTATTAAATAAATATATTGAAGTGTAAATTGATAAAACATTAAAATTAAAATATTCATATTTAGTCATGGAAAACAATAATACATGTAAATATCATATAAACATTCATGTTTAAACAATTTTTATCTCTTAAACTTTAGCAACTATAATTTTTGAATAAATTACCTCAAAGTTAGTGCTAAAAATAGAAAAATATCTAATGCAAAGTATCTTCTATCTACAGATAAAAGATAGAAATATACCCAGAGAGGTAGAAAAGTGGCTACGTTTTCAAGATATCAGGAAATGGATTAAAACAAATGTTTAAGTAAGCTACATTTTCCTTAGTGCGAATATCACGATCACTACTTGCCGCTTGGATGCTCGGAAGAAAACAGTTGCTATAAAATCTTGTAGCGCAGTGCTCTCAATCATTTTTTCAACAAAGTACCTTAATCAGAAGGGTCATCGTGCAAAGAGATGTAGAAATTGAAATAAAATTTCATTTTAAATATTTTTAAAAAATATTTAAAGTAAATATCTAACGTTGCGTTATGTGGTATAACTAATAATGTTGCTATCTCGACGCTGATTTGCTTCAAGCGTTAATTAATTTATAATAACACTTTTTAGGTTTCGAACAGAAGAATTCCGTAATACCGTTTTTAGCTTCGTCCAGAGAATTGCAATTTTTTCTTCAAGATGATAATCTACAGACCCGAAAGTAAGTCAGTCGGAATTTTCTGAATAGAAGTCTGGACTATTATGATTTTTTGTGTCTTAAGAGAATTCGAGCCAACCTCATCGTGTTGAAAAAACTCGATTTATGCTTATTAAGTTTAGATTGCACTAGGCAATATCAAACATTCTGGGTAACTGGTCATTATTAAGTAACAAGATGTTAGTAACATTTTGACACACAGAATGCTATGACAAAACTAATATACAGGAGGCGGTAAAGGTCAGATGTTTTCCGCTTTAACATTTTCGTTTCTAGCGGCACTAGTTCGAAACTGACCTAGGCGAGTTGAAATTTTATTGTGGACCCATGAAATCCTTTAGCTAGTGCTCTCCTTGATTATTTAAAGCAAAAAATCGTTAGTCAGATTACTCATTATGTAAGCGGAACCCTCATTAGAATAGTTTGGTCGAACGTCTTGAAGAAAGAAGCTTAGCCAGCTAGAAATAACGAAGCAGGATTAACCGAAAAACAAAACCAAATTCAAGATGAGATAAATATTTTTATAGATTGATTTAGCGTTTGGCACAGCAGCGTGCGTTGTCCTACCTGATTACAGAAGTTTTGAGATAAAAAAATAATTTCGAGTTCGAATCCCGGTGCACGGTAGGCCTTTTAAATAGCCATCTAATCTATCCTGCACGAGAAAAAATCCGTGTAGCCAAAAGGCAAGGCAAGGAAAAAGAAAAAGATCCATTTAGTGTTGTCTAGAGATAAATGTTATGTCAACCTTACTAGATGTGAAAAAAAAAAGATCTGTAGATTACAATTTTTAATAAAGTGATTAGTCATCCCTTCAGCTCTGATCTGAACCCTATTAAATGTCAATTGTGAGTTGTCTAAATGAGAAAAGCTTTGGCTAAGTAATGAATGAATATAAAAAATTCCCATATTCAACTTGGGATTAATCCAAACCACATTAAACGAATTTCAAATTGAATAAATACACGCACTAATAAAATATACAAGAGAGAGAATACCAATTAGACATTAGACATACAATGTCATTAAATATATATAAAATCACCATTATTTTTTAAATTTCCAGTTTCTTTGAGTACAATGAACTCTGTTATTTAGTAGCTCATTGGAAAATAGAACAAATAATAATTGATTGCCACTTTCCTTGCCTCTCAGAAAAATTGTATGAATAATAATAATAGTAAAACATGCTGAATATAATTTAAAAACCATGCATTCACTCTTTTTGTACAGTTTACTTGATATTAGTTATTTTTCATACATTCCTAGTTGATTTTAATGTTTTATTTAATCCCTCCAGTATTATTACTCAAACTTAATATTTTCAAATATCAATTTTATTTTCAAATAATGATAGTTATCGAGAAATCTTCTAAATAGATTAGAGTCACATTCCAAAAAAAATTATGGATAAATCCATGCATACATTTTTCAATCTATATTCTTATATTTTAATTCTATAAATTATCAGCATATCATCTATAGGAAATTGAAATTATTAATTTTCACAGGATTGATATCATAAA